TGGCTGGCCATTTTGTGAGTGTAATTGCAAGGAGAGCAAGCTGGGAACTTTGCTGACCCTGCAAGAACCTATTACAATTTACATTCACATGGTTTTACTAGGTTTGTTCTTCCAGTGACTCATAGATTGCTACATTAGGTCCTGGGCTAGTATCTCTCTTATTTTATTTTGATTTGCTCAGTTGGTCAGGAAATAAGCATTGTTAAGACAGGATAGTGATGATTTATATGAGTCAATCAAACTGTCATTTAACTTTTCTCTGGTAGTTTGTGGTAGAAGACTGCTTACTGCTTTGGTTGTGATGGTGTGCAGAGCTGAGCGTTCTTTCCTGAGCAACAATTCACAGGTCTAGGTGATCCACTGCTGTTTTGTAGCAACTCTTATTGAAGTTACTATGTATGGGTAGCACAATTTTTGCCCATCACCAATTCAGAAGGAGCTGGGTTAGGACAATCCAAGGAGCTAGATGCAGCCAGGATCTCCACAGTCAATAGTAATAGACTTTCTATTATTTTCAACAGTACTTCTCAAGTGAAGAGAGTATCATTGTCTCAGTTTGTAGGCACAAAAAACCCCCAGTGAGGTGACAGGGGTTGCCTGTGCAGGGATTACCCAGAAGACTGCTAGCAGAGCCAGAAAATACTGAGGTTACTTTGCTCCAACGTATGGGCCAGTGCTCTAAGAGAGTTGCTAGGCCTTCTCCTTTCTAAAGCTTTTATAGTCAATCCTAAGTTTGAAGTCTTAGTTATGGTGAAGGCTGAAAATACTATTAAACTAAATCTACTTTTCACCCTTCTGCAACAAAAGATTTTGGGGGGCTTTTGGTTTCTTGCTCTGTTTTTGGAATATCTTCATTTTAGTTTTCCCAGCTAGCATCATTTTACAGTACATAAATGTTTACTGAAAATTGCCTTGCATTGCATTATCAGACAAAATGCAGTTACTTATGGAGGCCTCTAGGTTTGTGTAATGCTAGTTCTAAATTACAATGATATATGCAATGTGTTATTAATCCGTACGTTAAAAACAGTCAAACTGGGATTACTTTTTTGTTTTCTTTCCTTCTTTCTTTGAAGATATTTGTTTGCATGTACTTTTAATTCCACATCTGATAGTTTAGCATATGGATGTAATCATCATGTGTTTTTTCTTCCTACTTGTACTTTCCTTTTCCTAATTTACGGTTCAGTCCTGGATGCTGCATTTGAATCAAAGGCTTTACAAAAAGCCATGCTGTTGGGCAAATATCTGCCCATTCATTTCTCTGTTGTTTTTTTTTTCTTTTTAATTTTGCTATTATATACTACTTTGTTGTATGCCAGTATCATCATGATAAAATAAGCACTGTTAACCTGCTGAAAGAGTCAGCCTCAGGAGGTTAAAATGTGGTCAAGGGTTAATTTAGTAGACAGAAATCTCATTAGGTTTTCATGGTTTTGCTGTAGTCAGTCACATACTTAGTTGTTAGTTTATTGAGTCTGCTATAGACTATGTTTTAAAAGTTGCTGCTCAACAGTTGTTTGGAATGACGGCATCCCTTTTGTTGTGTATCAGGCCCATAAATACATCCGTTTACTGGGGAAATGCCTGGAAGGAATGGTTAGGCTAAACAATTTCAGAAAAACAAGTAGGATTTTTTTTTAACTTAATGTTGTCTTGAAATTTACTTGCCTATTATATTTCAATTATGACTATCCTTTTTCTGAAGGATTTTCTTTGGTGTAAGCATAATTTTAGGAAGGTGTCCAAAAGGTTTATTTTTTCAGCATAAAGCATTTTTTAGTGTAATTCTCTGTCTTGTTATCAAATCAGTTTATATTATTTTTTTTTATTTTTTTAAATTTTCATATTGAATTTAGATTTTATCATATTGGATTATGATGGTTTATTTCTTTATTTGAAAATGTGGTTAAATTCTTCTCACATTTTCCAGGAGAAACTGGTGATCATCAAATCTTCTCTTTGCTCTGTCTGTCTGGATTGACTTCTATTTTTTTTATGTTACAGCAATTATTTGTAGCTCCATAGTGTGTCAAATCAAGCAAGAAATATGTGTCTTATTGTCCTCTTTCAGATAAGTGTGTGAAGTATATATTGCTATTATGAAATGGAAATAATATATAATTTTCAATATATAGTGAAGGTTTATAGTGTAATTGAACATATCTGTTTCTAAAAGAAAACAAATATCTTGCTTCTAAAGCAGCACTATTAGAAAACCTGAATTTTTAAAGCAATTTTTCCTAGTAAAATAAATTCAGCACATTTTTTTGGAATAGTTTCAATTTAGTAAAAACTGTTCAGTCTTTTCAACTAAAAAATAAAAGTGATTTTGAGGTTACTTTTTAGTTTTCTAAAAGAATTATTAAAAAAAAGATATTTAAGATTACTGTTTTCTGAAAATAGTAGTTAAAACATAAAAACTTTATTAAAAAAACCCAAAACAAACCCACAAAAACCCCCAAACTTGCAAGAATTTTGGACAAACACGCAAAATTACAAAATAATTACTGTGGCCACACCAGTTTACATCTAAGACAGGTATGACTGGTGATGGTCCAAGACTGCATTTCTGCACACAGACCTTGGAGTGGGTTGCCAGTAGATATATGTGGGTTGTTTTTTTTTTTCTTTTTTTTTTTTCCTGTAAGCATCTACCTCTTAATAGTTAATGAAGTTTCCCTGAGTACCACTTGGCACAGTGGATGAACAGAGATGAGGATAAAGAGGGCTTCAAAATAGCTTTACTCTTCCTTTTCTCGCCGGCATGTGTGCAAGGGCCAGCTAGGGGGAGGAGGGAAGGAAGAGGCATGTGGTGTGAGGAGTAACAGCAAGCAATACAGCATGTCTCCTGCCAGGACACCTTTAATGCACAGCTTCTCTTGGATTTACAGCCCGGCCGGGAGCGCAGGGAGCTCAGCTGTTTCAGAGTGCCGACCTCCTCCGGCTCCGTAAACCAGGGTGCCAAACCTGTGGCCACGGCCACGGCGGGGGGTGTGCTGGAAGGTGGCCACGATGCTGTGCCAGCAGCCTGTGAGGTGCAGGCTGTGGTGTAGGGAAGCGCAAGATGGGATCCAGTGGTGCAAATTTCACAGGCGGTACCTAGTACCTGATGGGTCCGAGGTCCCTTGGAAACTTCAGTTGAGGCTGGTTTAATTAGCTTGTCTGACTGACACACCAACAATTTTTTAGTGCACTGTTTAAAGATAAAACAATCCATCAATGATTTTGGTTTAGAAGAGTATGTGGTAAAGTCTAGCGCTTCAGGAGCTGTTTGATGGGTGGCTCAGACATCCACTCAGCAGCGTGGGGTGGGCAACTGGAGACATGGGGTGGGCAACTGGAGACAGTAGCTTCATCAGCTCTGCTGGTCCAGGTGTTAAAGCGGCCACGTGCTCCCCAGGAACAGATCTGTAGCCACAGCCTTCCCACAAGGCCATCATCCCTGGCTCAGCAGCTGCTCTAGTGTGGGTATGGGTATAAATAAGAAAATGATGGCCTCACTATCCAGGAATTTTCATTTACACCTGGAGATTTTGGTAGAGTTTTATTCCCCTATTATATCACAAGAGTCGCTTACAGGAGCAGCAACTCAAAGGCTTGGTCAAGAACACAATACAATTATAGGTTTACACAACATTTAGAATATCATTACTTTCTTGTAATTCCAGGTGCTCTGGGGGGTGTGTGTAGAAACAGAAGCAGCAAGAACACAGAAAACAAGCTGCTGGTGGTGGACGTTTTCCCTGACAAGGCAGTACGGGAAGAGCATAAGTGGTGGGAACATGGTGCTTCCTTCCTCCTTGGCTGGACAGGACAAGTGGCAAAGGAGTATGAATGGTGAGATCAGAAAGGAGGAGAAAGATTTAAAAAAAAAAAAAAAAGTTGTGGCAGAAAGTAATATGCTCCAGCATAGAGTGCAGTGAAACAACTGTAATTTTCAAAACAAAGTAGTACAGAGGTAACCTGAATATTGTTAATACCACTGTAGGCAATTTATGCAAAAGCAGGTTTCTTTCGTTGCCTTTATGCCCTTAGCTATAAAGAAATGCCTTGGAAAAGGCTGAGGGCAAAGTTGGACTTGCTAGCTTGGGGCTCTGCCTGCTAATTGCTGAACTGCATCAGATCATAAAAATGTGGAACTTCGTCTCTCGCAGCAAGACAGCGTTGTGAATACCTAAATTTACCACCTGATTCCTGCGATACCTGGAATTCAGTGCTCAAAGAGAGGACAAATATAGCTGTTATGAAACCACACAATCTGCTTTGGTGCATTTTGGCAGTTCAGAAAGGGCAGAGTTTTTGGACACAGCCCTCCAACAGCCACTCTATGCGGAGAAAAGAAAGCTCACTTTCTTTGAGAAGTCCTCGGAAATCTGAGCTTGATAGGTCCTGGCACCACTGCACCAGAAAAACCCCCGAGATCCGGTGCCTGGATGCTGCCAAATTCTGTCCACAAAACCTAGAAATTATGTCATCTTAGCAGAAATAACAATTGCTTTCTATGATTCAGCTACAAAAAAAAACCCCAGCCCCAAAGCAACCAACAACCCTGGATGCCACCAGATCTTGAGAGAGCGGCGCGAGGTCTCCGCCGGTGCGGCGCGAGCCCCTGGCCGCGCTCACCTCTGCCTCGCGCCGGGCTCCCGC